GTCTGTTTGATCACGTTGGTTTGTTTTTGTTCTCCTCGTGTATTTGTTTTGATCACGTGTGATGACGGCACTCAGCTGGCTTGATGAGCTCGCCAGCTGAGGCTCATATTCGGGTCTATATATGGGCCACGTTTTCTGTGTGTCTTTGTCAGTTCGTTATGTGTGCTTATGGTGTGCTGTTCTGTCTGTGTGCGTAGGATCTCAGGACTAATTTCTGGACCCTGTTTCCCGTCTGATTCCTGCCCGATCTCTCCCAGCATTAGCACCATTTATTACTTGATTTTTGTTTGACTTTGTCAATAAATATTATTTTTGTTTAACTCGCACTTGGATCCCTCTGAACATTCATTTATTCGTGACAGAACTGCCAATTTCAAGTACTCCGGAAACATCCTCCACCTGGAGTTCTGCATCCACCTCTGCAGCCACGTCTGACTTGAGCCTGTCAAACTCTGATGTACTAAGTATGTCACGGTTGCAGGTTTGTGCGCTCTTCCGGAGTGTCTGTTTGATCATGTGGGTTTGTTTTGTTTTTGTTCTCCACGTGTATCTGTTTTGATCAAGTGTGATGACGGCACTCAGCTGACCTGATGAGTCCGCCAGCTGAGGCTCATATTCGTGCCTATATATGAGTGACGTTTTCTGTGTGTCCTTGTCAGTTCGTTAAGTGTGCTTATGTGTGCTATTCTGTCTGTGCTCAGGACCGTGAGGAGTTTCTTCTAGAGCCTGTTATCCTGCCTGATACCTGCCCTGTTCTCCTAGCCCTAGCACCGCACTCATTTCTTTCACTTGTTTTTGAGTTTGACTGTGTCAAATAAATACTTTTTGTTCACTCGCAATTGGATCTATCTGAACATTTATTTGAGTGTGACAAAGTAGTGACATGGGCAAGTTCTTAAATCGGGGATCCAGTAGGGTGGCTTTAAAGTAATGACCTGAGGAGTTATCAAAGACAGCCTGGAAGCACTGAGCCAACTGAGACTGCAATGTAGTCAACATTTTAAGTGCCTCTGGAAGAGCCTGTACATCATCATTCACCTTTAAAGGGCCATGAAACCCCCCTGTTTCAGCAAGGTTTTTTTCACACCTCTATTTTGGAAAAAGTCAGGAAAGTGGGCGTGTCCAGCTCTGTTTAGGGTGTCGGAGGAGCAAAAGAGGGAAGGTCTGTAAAAATTTGCATAAAAATGGGAGTGTCGGTTTGGGCACACGCTGATTTTCACAGAGGCAAAACAAACACACACACACACACAGGGGAGAAAGACAGTGACTGTGTTTACATGGATATCGAATGATTTGACAAATTATTAAATGGTGGACTTTAACTGCTGTTTGGCTTTTTATTCCTGTCACGAAATACGCCGAAAAACCTACACGATGGCAAGTTTGATAGTGGTGCTAACATGTTTACACTCTGTGTAATAGTTAGTTCGATACAAAATAACATTGCCATCTGAATACACAAACAAAGACCACTGGTCAAGACAGGACAATCAACACCAACTAGAGCCGCAACTTTATTAGGAGGAGACGAGCAGCAAATCCAGATTTCATCATTTACAGATTAGAAAAGCTCTCAGGTAAAAAAATGTTCCTTAGGCGACGTTCACACTGCGAGGCTTAGTGCTCAAATCTGATTTTTTCTCAGATTTGATTTTTTTTTGCATGGCTGTTACACTGCTCTTATAAATGTGGCCTATATCAGATTTGTAGTGTAAACAGATCATGGTCCTAAACTGACCCGCATGCGCAAAAGTGCATTACAGAGAACACAAAATGTCTAATTATGCACACGTGTGTGCTGCATGAGTAAGCACCTTGTCAGATCATACTTATATTATTATTATTACCCATTTCACAGACAACCGTGGTGTATTTCATGAACTGTAAATGATTGTTCTGCTACTACTAAGGTGTATATTTCGGCATTTGAGACCTAAAATAAGCCTCCAGTGTTAAAAAATACAGATCATTTGTGATTCATGACAACCGCGGTGCGTGGCGCTCTGATCACCGGTGTAGTGAACTCATTCATTCATTCATTCATTCACTTTCTTGTCGGCTTAGTCCCTTTATTAATCCGGGGTCGCCACAGCGGAATGAACCGCCAACTTATCCAGCAAGTTTTTACGCAGTGGATGCCCTTTCAGCCGCAACCCTTCTCTGGGAATTCACCACCAGAGGCGATGCAGTGGCGCAGTGGGTACCACGTTCGCCTCATAGCAAGAAGGTCGCTGGTTCGATCCTCGGCTCAGTTGGTGTTTCTGTGTCAACATTTCTTTTTTTTCTCGGAGAGAAAGTTCTTCCTCCTTTGCACACGGATCCTCTATCGCAACACCCATAAAGCTTTTTGGCTTCGCGATCAACTCTTGCCTCAATTTGGTAACCAGATTAGGTAACAAGCACCAGTTATGCCTTGAACATCTTTTTTAATATGAATAACCAACTTTCTGTGATACTGTAATCGCCCTGTGTGGAATTCTACCGTGCTGCTGAGGGGTAGATTATGTTTGCAGCACAGAAAGATGACGCATGTCACTCAAAGATGTAAAAGTCACATGAAATCCAACATGACCGTTCACACTGTGGTCGCATTGCAAAACATCAGATCTGTATCTGATTTAAGACTACATATGAAAGTGGCACAGATCTGACCTGAAAAGATCAGATTTCATGCGGTTTGGGATGTTCACACTGTCTTCACCTGAGTCTAATTCGTGCCACATTTGCCTGCAGTGTGAACGTAGCCTTAGACAAGTATTGTTGTCGAGCATCGTGTGCACTGTAATCCACACAAGAGTCCAGCTGCGCTCTCATAGAGAGAAAATGAAAACAAAACCTTCACTGCAGCAAATTATAAAAGTGACACTGCACGCTTGTTTTAGCAAGACAACATGTCATCTCTGTTCCGTCTGAACACTGTATCAGGTCTTCGAGCTATCATGCATATTAATGAAGTTGCATCGCATACACAATAGAGCGTGCTTATTGGTTTAACAACGAGATGGTAGTTGGTATCGAGGTACAACCACATTGAGAAGCTTGCGAAAACCTTTATTCTCCACTTCTGAGATGGGCATCAGATCAAGGCAAATCATTTCTCCCACTCTGTTTGTTATTTGCTTTGCAGTGGGGTGGTTGGGTGGATAAGCCTGTTTTGCACTAAATGCAACTAATATAGGTGATTGAAACTGACTTGCAGGGAATCGTGGATTAACGGCAGGATTCATGAATATAAAAGAATCACTCATAACAGGGTTTTATGCGTCCCCGATATGCGATGTCAAGAGAGTGACTCTATAAGGTAACGTACACTGCACACACTTTGTGTAATGTGTGAAGTCCTGGACACATGTCAGCGCAAGGATAACTCATTTTTAAATGTCCATGCGTAATGGCTAATAGACAAGGTCTATGGATTTGCAGGGTTATCAACAATCTGTTTATATTTATGGCTCGGAACAGCCTTCTGTTTAAGATTTTTGTGTTTCTTGTGTTCTAGTGTAGACACTACATGCAAAAAAGAAAACAAAACAAACAAATGAAATGCACTTTCATTGAAACCAAATCTATGAAGTATAGGTACTCAGTATCGGCGAGTAAGCAAATTAAAATACTCATACTCCTATCGTTTTTTTAAAAAGTGGTATCGGTGCATCCCTAACAAAATAGAATTGGGAATGGTCCTTATTTAACTAATACTACACCAGCATTCTACCACTACTCTCATGCCTGATAGGTTAGAATATTTCCATAATTTGAAACTTAATGTTTTATTATTCACTATTCTTCATCTTTGGCAGTCTACATTGTAAAAGTGCTAAAAATAATCAAAAAGTAAATTTCATCATGTTTGTAAAAGGAGACAAGTATGTCAGCAACCAACTGCACTTGCATCTGCTTCCAGGATCAAACCAAAATCTTATTTTAATGTGTCTGTTAGGATGTAAAAATAAAAGATTTATAGGCGAACATGCAGCAGAAAATAGGAAGTCTCACACATCATTTTAGAGTTCAGAGGTGTAAAAATACTCAAAAGTTGAGTGAAAATGAATAAACACTGTGAAAATTAAACTCAATTAAAGGTATAATCATTTGACAAACCATACTTGAGTAAAAGTAAAAAAGTACCAGATTTGAATTGTAATTGCGTTTTGGAACCGTAAAAGTAACACTCAGAATCCATCTAGAGATTCATGTTTAAACTTTTAAGCAGTAAAAACAATTAAAAGAAGCACCTAAAATTATCTAGAGATTGTTGTTTATTTTTTTTTTATGTTTCACAATACAATGTGAATAGAGCTCATATGATGCTTTATCCTGCTTTAAAACTGTTTGTGTTTAATTGTATTTACCTATGAAACTAAAAGCCCAACTTTTATGCAACCAAAGCAATAACCATTATGCAACATGCTCAAAGTTTTAAATCCTAATAATTAACTTGTGCAGACACTGATTTTTAGAATTTTAATTGTAGAATTGTAAGAGTAAAGCCTAGCTCTTTTAGGGGTGCAGAAGCAAAGAAAAATCAATATTTCCTTGTTTAGTAAGACAAGGAATAGTATATAAAAGTACAATTTTAAATGTAACAGTAGCAAACCTTAAGTGCACAAGTTATACATGTACAAGTCCACTTATAGGTATACTACAAATTTACTCTTACTTGTAGTAAATACTTAGCTAGTGAAGGAATAGGGAATTTGGGTCTGCATTTAAACCATTCGAATGCACGCATAGTAGAAACAGACACCACCTCACCCCATCCTTTACCATATAATACCATATTATTACCCTATTACAGCAGTTCTATGCTTCCTACATTGACAACTAGTTTGTTTTAGAGTTGCCTACCAAATTCTGTTATTCGTTTACAAAGCTTTGAGTTATCCCTGCGATGTCTTTTGGACTACTCACTAAGTAGTTGAATAGATATATTAAGTTTTAAGTGGGTGGTGAGTGTGTGGCCATTTGTTATAATAATTTCTTAACTAAGAATTTCTTACCAGTGGGTGGAGCTGTTGTAACTGACAACGAAGCTGTTTTGTCAGGCTCTGGCAATGATAATTCCTCCAGTGCTCTCTTTCTGAGCTCTTCATCATGATATTTACTTTCTCCACTTGTCAGAAGGTTCTTCTCTGCCTCCAACTCTAGCACTTCATGCAACAGGTCTTCTTTTTGTGCATAGAGACGCTCCGTACCAAACCTGCATACCAACAAATCAGGCCCTATTAAAAGGTTAGTTTACCCAGATATGAAAATTAATTTTATCAATTGACTCACCCAAACCTCTGAGACCTTCATTCATCTTCGAATAACAAATGATGATATTTTAGATGAAATCTGACAGCTCCCTCATCCTACTTAGACAGCAATGGTCTCGGCTCATTCAGTCCAGATAAATACAAAAAAACATCCTCAAAACAGACCATATGCCTCCAGTGTATCAGTTGGATTATCATGAAGCTATGAGAATTTTTTCTTTACACATAAAACAAAAATAATGACTTTATTTTTAAAAAATGCTTCTAAGTGTAAGTACAGAGTGTGTATTTACAAGAGCACTATGCTTTTTATGCATGCTATACAGCTTATTTATACCTCGTACGTGCCTATGCTTTGTTTTCAAACACAGAATGTTGTCTATGTGGATTTCTGGCATATACATCAACTGTTAAATAAAATAGTAATTTTTGTTTTATTCATTAATTTTCAATGCTTTCCAAGGCCGGGTCATTGGTACAGCAGGAGAAAACCCCAGACTTTCCTCTCCGCAGGCTCTTCCTCCAGCCAGCTCCTCCTGGGGGGTTCCCAAGGTGTTCCCAGTCCAGCCAAGAGACATAGTCCCTCCACCGTGTCCTGGGTCTTCTCCAAGGCCCCCATGGATGGAACACCTCCCTAGGTAGGGGGTCGGGGTTTTGCTTTATGTGTGCACAAAAGTATTCTCATAGCTTGAGAATTCTCTGATTGAACCACTGAATGCATGTGGGCTCTTTTAAGGATTTTCTTCTGCTATGGAAGATGAGGCTACTGTCAGATTTCATCTAAAATATCTTCATTTGTATTTAGAGGATGAACATAGGTCTCAGGGCTTTGTAACAACTTGACGATAAGCCATTTGGTAACAATTTAGTGAAAGGACCAATTTTCACACCTAAATAATGACTTATTACCTGCCTATTGTTAAAATATTGGCTGTTCGGTAGTACTTACAAAGTATGTGTCTTTATTTAATTTATTTTAGATATTTTTAAGAACCTTGAAATGAAATGTGACCCACAAATTTCACTAATAATAAACCTAAATCTTTTTTCTTAAAACATTTTATGCAGTATTTGAGCTATTGAGCTTTCTGTTATGTCCTTAAACCAGAACTATTTTTGTTCTTTTTTATTTATTATTTATTACACTTTACATTTCAGCAGAAAAAAAAACTTATTGCAGCTTATAAAATAATGTGATCTCTTCTAACCTGCGCAGACTAGCAAAGTCCTGTTTTTTGTAATAATCAAGTAGCAGCATGGTCCTCTCTCTGCATCTGCGTCCATCCACTTCAAAGCTTTCATCCTGCAGTGTTGCAGTAATAATTTCACCCACCCTTGCCCAGATCCGGCCTGACTCTTTAGAAGTGAAAGGATTCTGTGCTATCACTTCACGGAGGAGCAGGATGTCATGACGTGCTGAAAATCGCACCTGTCGTTTACGAGGATTAGAAGATGGTCCTGCAAGAGAGAAACCTGCATATGAGCAGACAGATGTCAAAAACTTTGGGCACTTTTCAAACATTTTGAATGTGTTAACTTCCTTTAACATTATTAGGATTTTCAATTTGACATATGTACATGCTAATATACAGTAAATATAAAATTTAAATGTGTGTAAATTTGTATACATTTTTGTTTTGTTTCTGTCCATCATACTTTTAATTCATTCATTTATTTAATTGATGGATTTTTATTTTCTGAATAACCACCCCTATATTTGTCATAAGCTTAATCGTTTTTCTTTTGTGCTTCTATTGATTCTAATTTTTTTAATTATTATTTCATGGCGCTTTATTGATTACCCCCAACAACCCAGACGTCGATTAGCATTCCAATGCAATGCAAAACACGCGCTAAAGAGAATCTGTAGCAGCTTACAATGACTCTCTTTTCAAGAATGGTGAAAGTGAGTTTAATTCTATTCAGTCGTTTTGAATATATTTATATTATAAAGTCAGATTCAGTAACACAATCGATAGATTCCATCCCATTTAAAGAGTGCGGCTTTTCGGCAAGTCTTACCGCGTTCCATGTCTTCTCGCCTTTATGTATGTCAGCTGATACGCACAAACTGCTGAGGTCACTGTACACGTCCGCTCACAAGTACAGGTTCTTTTCTGACGTGTACCTCAACTTCTCGAGAAGTCAGACATAACTGGAAGGAAATGGACTGCATGTGTATCTTTCAACCTCAAGAGGGCAGAAAAGGATTATAATAAGGGATTTTGGTTTCAAACGGGTTCAACGCTCTTAATAGCACATTTAAAACAGCTGCAAAGTAAAAGTTTCTTTTGAAGATTCCACCACTTTGCAGTAAATACTTTTCTAGTAGTTTAGATTATCCTCAATATGATAATATCACACCCCCCTCCCCGTGTGAACCTTTTGTTGCAGTCAAAATCTTTAAAAACCCTTTCATGCGTCGCTGATAGACCAAAGTCAAAAGTGAAAAATGTATCCTACAACGGAGCTTCACATTCAAGACATAAAGGTAACAACACTTTAGTATAATATTCCATTATATATATATATATATATATATATATATATTAAACATTACCCAGATAGCAAAATACACTCGGGCCAGTTCCGGCTAGATTGTCGCCTGCCGGAGACTAACCCCTCGGCCCAACTTCGGCTGCCGGACTCGGGCCGGATGCCTGTGGACTCACTGCCCGATTCCGGCCCGAATCAAGCGGGCCAGATGCGGCGGCCGTAAGCGAGCCGACGCTGCGCATCCGCGCCTGAATCGGCGCGAGGGTAATGTGCGCTGCGGCCCGGAGCTGGCGCGACTCCGTATTTATACACCTTATAAAACCTTTTGGTATTACATTGGTACTTGATATATGGTATTACAACCATTTGAATTTATATAACAGCAAACACAGGCTATAATGTAAACACAAAGTGTAAGCACTGCGTTTAACCTTTGAATAAAGTGCAAACTGCATACATATTCTATAACGAAAATAATCAGACAAATGACAAAATAAAAAAATGTTAAACGTTTATTGATTGCATGAAAAAAATAGGCTATGCATAATCTTGTACAGCATTTTAATCATAGTTTATTATTCATGTCACCACTGGCTTGCTTGGTTGGGACTTGTGGAACTGGATGGATTTGCTCTTCAGTGTTTGGACGTTCAGCAGTAAAATTTAAAACACACTGAACTGAACTTTAACTGAAAATTGGACTGACACAGTTTCAATTTACTAGAACTTCTGTGTTAAGCTGCTTTAACACAATCTATATTGTAAAGCACTATAGGCTATAAATAAACATGAATTGAATTGAATAGTTCAACATTTACCAATACATTATTAAAATACAAAAATTGAGCTTGTTAACATTAGTTAATGCACTAAGCTGAACTAACATTGTGAAAATGTTTCATTAAATAAAAGCATGGCCTACCAGTCTTTTTCTCATTGAAGTAGTAATACATTTACATTTTACTGTACTTTAGTGGGTTAAACGTAATACTATTGTTTAGGGCTTTACTGTAAAATAAAGGGTGGCATGGTGGCTCAGTGGTTAGCACTGTCACCTCACAGCAAGAAGGTACCTGGTTCCAGTTGCAGCTGAACCAGTTGGCATTTCTGTGTGGAGTTTGCATGTTCTCCCCGTGTTCATGTGGGTTTCCTCTGGGTGCTTTGTTTTCCCCCACAGTCCAAAGACATGTGTTATGGGTGATTTAGATTAATTAAAATGACCATAGTGTGAATGTGAGAGTGTATGGATGTTCCCCAGTACTGGGTTGTGGCTGGAAGGGCATCTGCTGCGTAAAACATATGCTGGAAAAGTTGGCAGTAGAGATCTGCGTGGGACTAAATTTTGAATCCCGCTCCCGCCCGCACCAGCCAGGTTTTAGCCCGAACCAGACCGCTCCCGCTTATATTCAGCATTTGTTATCCCGCTGCCCGACCTGCTCTGTTTTCTACCTGCCGCGCCTGTTCCTGCAAACGGACGGGGGGGAAACAAAACTGAAAACCACCCAGCTGAGAACAGACAGCCTATAACACGCTGTCTGTATAAACACACATACACAAACACACGTACAAGCAAGTGACACACACAGACAGCGTCTCGCTCTCTTTCATTCACACACACACACACACACACACAGAGAGAGAGAGAGAGAGCACAAAGCTCTCGCTCTCATTCGCATGCACACATAGACAGCAACAAACAAGCTAAACGCAGCATCATGCTGGCTCTTTCACACATATACATGCGCATGCTCGGGAGTGGGGAGCCGGTAGCAATATTGTTGAACCGCCCGCTACTGTCCAAAATTAAACCCGTTACCGACCGCTCCCAATGCTTTATTATATTATTATAATAAAAATATTCCTATGCCACAGAAATGTGGTCGGGTCCCGCGACTCCCGCGGTACAGCCACGGGAATGCAGACCTCTAGTTGGCAGTTCTTTCTGCCGTGGTGACCCTTGTTAAATGAGGCACTAAGACGAAGGAAAATTAATAAATTAATGTAAAATAAGGTAACCAAAACAAACAACAATGTTTACCTATATACAGCCCCTAAGAGTCTTTTATAAAACCCACCTGAGCCCCATCATAAACCCATGTAAGCAGTTTTAAATGAGTCCCTCGTGGATTTTCCAAGATCCAATGGTGTTCATCAAGGGCCATTAACCCCCCTGGGCTAACACATGTGGGACCACTATGAAACCTAACGACAAAATTATCAGCCCAAGTGAAACCCATCTGGGCTCCACATGTGTTGGCTGAGGCTGGAACACCTCACCCTGGATTCGATGAATCTGCATGATGAGTTCAGACACCTGAATAACTAGGGCTCGAAGGGTTGGTGGCCTGCTCATCCTGTCGGTCAGTGTGTGACATGCTGTGTTCAAACAATCTTAGAGTTTTGATGCACTCGCTGGATCCATAATCTGGTCAGTTTGTTCTGTCATACTGGAACAAAGATGTGGAGTCCAAATGCGAGTGACAATTTATTTTAAATAAACAGCAAATGCTGTAAACAGTCAAACAAGAAACCCTTAGTCTGTAGAAGTAATTTATGAAAAAAAGTAATCCTTTTTCACTTTTATTTAATGATTACAATGCAAATCCAATTACATCCACTTTATTTGGTAAACAAAGCAAGTCTCTCATATATCTACTAAAAAACAGAAAATGTTACCTTACAAACTGTATTGTAAATAAATCAGATGAATATTTTCATATTAGTCAATATTATTACTGTAATGAATAAAAAAAACTGAATGAATATAAATTTACACACATTTACAAAAGTAAATAAACACAATCAATATTGGGCAAAAAATCTGTGGAATTCTGAGCGTGCAGATTCTGTGTGGGCCTACTTATGGCCAAGAATTAGGTTTATTAAGTCTAAACTGCCTGACCTCATCCCTCTTTTCTGCTTCATACAAAAAAAAATCTATCTGGAGATATGCTATTCAAAATAAGATCATCATCATATTAGTTAAACTTTAATTTTGTTTATTTCCAAAACTCACTGCGCATCTATACATTAAAGGCTGTTACCTCTGTCATAAAACGCAGCCCCTCTGAAATGTGCAACTATTAGCTTAAATTGATAATTTTTTAATAACATCATTATGACACTAATGAGAGTGAACTCTTTTCTTACAAATGCGTCTAATTTATTGTTTTTGCTTTATCCATCAATATAATAATCATATTACCTTTTTTATCAATTATGGCCTTTGGTTTTCATGTAGACTGAGAATCTAAATGAAAGTCCTTGAAAGGCAGGCCCATAAAGAATTCAGAGGCCCCTGAGCACAATGTCTTGGAGCCTCCCTAGCTGCCCGCACCCCTATAATTGAATTTAAAAATATGATTAATTAAATATTTTTTTAATGAAATGAATCGTTAATGCATTGTACGAATTTAAAAAAAAATTTATATATAGTAAAAATTTAAGGCACACTTTAAAAAAATATATATTGATACAACTAGTGAAAATTAATGGATTTTAATGTACATGTTCAAGTTCACAGAAGCAGTACTTAAATTTATATTTAAGGGTATTTTAATGTATAACTTCTACAAACTTATATGTATATTGGATAAAACACCAATCCAATCCAGTTCTAAGAATCTGAGACTACCATAATACAAACACTTATTAATGATTCCTACTTGTCTTCCTCGTGATGAAGAGTAGGCAAAATCTGATATGTAGTGGGGGAATGTGTTCATCAGATGCTGGATTCAAACTGGGTTCATAATCGATCATGTCAAAACATAATGCCATGTGCTTATCAAGCTATCCCACTCAAACTGCTATTTGTCGCTCTCATTAGTTATGTTGTCTCTGTCAATCAAACAGTGATGAGCAGGAATCATTCAACTAGCTTATTCCAACGAGGTGTGCTATTTGCACTTGGCCTAAATAAGGGTGCTTTTCTCAGCACAACACCTGTTGCAAAACACATGAGTGATGCGTGAGCAGCTCCTATTTTTTTTCGCATGCATGTTCTCAACCAGGATTCATACCGGGAGTGGCAACGTGAGCAGCACATCAGCGTCAAGCAGAGGCGGTGCAAAAGGCGCGCAGGTATGTTTTCTCCACACATGCGTCAGTTTGTTTTTGATTACATTGCTTTTACCAGCGTTGCATCGGTTGCACATGACATGATTTTAAAACATTTTAAACTTGTAAAACTCATTCTTGAGGTAAAACTGATCACAGAGAACTGAACAGATGTTTTAGTCCCAATTGCTGTGTAAAAGGCCTGTCTTGTAGATTTGTTTATAAATGTTACTATGGAAATATGGTAATATGCGACTGTCAATTAATTTGGTGGGCGGGGGAAACTGCACTCCTACATCATGTTGCAGTGTGACTTAAAATTGCAGGAATTTAACTATTTTATTGTCCGGAATTTAAAAAAAGATAGACTTATTGTGTTTATATCATTCCAGTATGACTGTGGACAGACTAAACCTACACACAGTTCTGTTAAAACAGCTTCCAAAAGTTGATTTTCATCATAGATGCTTTTTAAAATACATACCTGGCACTCTGAACATTCCTG